TGCAATAATAAAACTGCGAATGTCCTTCAGAGGTGAGTCTCTACACCCTCCGCTGCTCATATGCCTGAAAAAGCCCAAGTGACCTACATACAGAGACAGGTAGGATGGGAGTGCTGAAGAGATGAGAGGCAGACAATCTTAGTTCCCTGTATTTTATTATTTTATTGACTACACGAGACAAATCCCTGAAGAATGTGTACACTGGCTTTGATACTGTACGTCAGAGAGTAGACTGTGTAAATCGTGGCTATGTGACTGACCTCTAACCTGTCTGCTGGACGCTGGAGGAGGCTGACCTGCTGGATCCATCTTTGAGCAGATGTTTGTGTGTTTTGGTGTCGGGATAGAAGAACAATGACCAATGAGCTATAGTACATAGCAGCAGCTTGGTTGCAATGTCTCACCTCTTGGCCTCTGCAGGGTTAAAACTTGATGCCTCTCCCTTTTTTTCCTATTTTATAACTGGAACCTGACAACTGCTCCTCCAAAGGTTGCAGCTTAGGAAGCTTAGCTGCAGCAGTGAGTGACCTTTACTTTTATTATGAATATTTCTATTTCATCATTATTATAGAGTGAAATCTATGCATATGATCAGCACAATGGATTTCTTTTTCATTAGTTGTGTAAAATGCCAGTCAGTGAATAGAGGGGCGGACAGGGCTGCTTGACAGATTACCCTCCCGACTCCCCCACTGGAGGGATCTGACAATTGGAATTAATATGCGCAGAGTTTTCCCTTCCCTCGGTTTGCTGGCTGAGGTTTTCCAGGCAACTTTATCAGGGGTAACATTATCGGGAGCTTTGCAGAGAGCTTCTTCATCATGCTCACTTCTGAGCCGGCCCAACACTTGTCACTGTCAATCACAAGGTGATAATACACAGATGATTCTCTCATTTGGTTTAATAAAATCTCCAGGCTTATTTGAACTGCAGTCATTACAGCAAATAATTGCTGCATTGAGGTTTTGGCCAGGCCATAGCCTCGAGGATAAGGAAAGACTATTGCTATATGAAGGATTTGGCTGATGTTTTTTTAACCTTTACTCCCCAGTTGTTCATATTTCTTTAAATGAATATTACATTTGAATCTAGATTTGGCTTTCTTTATTCAAACTAACATTGTTATTACGGATTATTTGGACATGGAGTCATCCGTTTTCCTTTTTTATGACCGCGCTGTCAAGACAGGTTTCACCTGGGACTTCCAATTGTAATTTTTAACTGTCATTTAAACCAAATTTTAGATCTGAATGTGCACGCCTAAAATTCTCTGAAGGAATGGACTGACAGAAGGAACATATTTCATTTTAAATTTGAATTCTGGCACCAGCTGAATGTATTTAACTGTAAAATACTGCTGAAAACAGAACACAGGCTATAAATCTTTCAGAGACGAACAGTCAGATGATGAAATATCCTATTTCACTATCTATGTTTCGATTCTGTTGATTTAAATTAGAACATTTTAAACAAAGGCTTTTACAACTTTAAAAGTACAAAAGAAATCCAGCTCCAACGGTCACACATTCAATTAGTTAATCCAATCTCCCCATTTTAATTGCATCCATTAATATATTTGTTTGACCAAACAAGGTCACAATAGCTGATTAAATAAAGAATCAATGGCAGAGACAAAAAACTCATTACAAAAGCAATGGTGTGGATATTTGTACCCTTGTTTGTGTCACACTTTATCTCAATGTCGATGAAGGTAAATCCGGCATCAACTTATTTGTTTTGAGGTGGATTTTGATTTGCACGTGCCAAGAGAATAATGGTGACCTTGCATCGTCGGCCGGCAGGACACAAATTATCTTTGTCAGTGAAGTGTACTTGGGACCATATACAATCAGATAACAATAATGAAGTCAATAATTTGTATTTACTCTGAAACTTGGACAAAGTCATTTCTCCCAATTAATGCAATCACCCATGCATTAAATTAGTTTTTTTTTTCTTACCCTGAAAAATAATTAGGTGTAATTGTTAGGAAATCAATCAATCAACAGAATGAACTGCCAATGAAGCGTGGTCAAAACTAAAGAAATGTGTGACACAGATGGCTTGGATACGCCTCACCCTCAAGGGACTTCTGCTGTGCAGTACACCAAAATATTAAAATGAAGGCGACAGAGAAGTGCACGTTTGTTTATGTTTATCAAAGTGCCTCTAAACACTTTCCGGGGGCGTCTTAGTCAATTTTAGTCAAAAAACTGAAGGAAAACATAGAAGAGCAGATAATATAACTTTGGAGTCCTAACTATAAGTAAAGCCTGACTGATGTGGATTATTTGGGGTCAACCAATTTTGGGGAGTAAAACCTTTTTGCTAAGGCTACATCCTCCAATAGATCTATTGAAAACAGACATAAACAGTGATAACAATATGTCTGTGAAAGGCTCGTATTGGTTGATTTCTATCGGCCAACCTACAACTTGGCTAGACTCCAGTTATAAGAAAGCTTTTTTTAACCTTCAGAAAATGTGATTTTTTTAAATCCACATTTGCTATTTAAACGGTAGAAAAAAGGTGACTTCACCAGACACATGGGTCTAAAGGTTTGGACTTGGGTCCAGTCCCAATGTCCACCCTCAAGGATTCCCATTTTTTAGGCATGTTCTTGTTAAGTTGTTGAGGGCTGTCTCACTGTGAACCATAGACTGAATGTAAAGATGGATGACATGAAAGCTCTGCAAAAGTGAAACCAAAGCGTCTAAATCGCTAACTGTTGCTGGCTGCAGTAAAGGTCAATATTGGCCATATTCATTTTTTTATTTTTGCTTAATAAGGCAATATTTCAAAAACAATGGTAAATTAATTATTTAAAAATGGCCTCTCGTCCACTCTGTAAAAAGAACCTGAGGGATGGGGATATAAGGCAGTTGGTCACTCCACCTTGGCTGTGAAGAAAGTAAACAAAAATAACAGAGTTTCAAAAAAGAGTTTCAAAACTGCCAAACTTAGCCATTCCTTTTAAAATATTGAAGCCCTTGTTATCTGTCACACTGACTTACAAGCTGATGTCTGTTACATTTTTGAAGGTTCAGGTCTTGAGTCCTTAGGGACACAAAGAAAGAGTTTATAAGTAAACCAATCACAGTGGCGTCTCCGTTCCTCTTTAAAACACAGGTGGCTTGGACCTTGGTGGATTGTTATTATAATGGTGGATTTGTAGTGAGAACGATGTTTCACTGCAGAGGAAACACTTTCACTTCACATGCAGACTGTATGTGCACTGTGCCCATGCAAATACCTACTATCTTGATAATGCTCCCTTAAAGTAAAGGTTTTATTGTTTTTATTGTTCAATCACACAATTTTGAAGGGTGCATACTGTTAAAACAACATGGGGGCTGGATGGATAAGTGACAGCTGCATCTGAAACTACCAAATACGCTTGCATACCACTTTGTGCCAGATTGCACCGAGAGTAAGATTGCGGCCAAGTGTGTTAAACAATATTAATTCAATCTGTATCCGGAAAGATGATAAAAGGTGAAGTATTTCAAAATATGTAAAACACTGACCTTCTCTTTTTTCATAAATTATATAAAAGGTGTACAGAAAGATGGATAACACATGTCTACTTTCCCCCAGAAAGCCAAAATCAGTACACTAGCAATAGGGAGATGGAGCCGCAGTAGAGTCGTCCTGTCGATACACACACGCACTCGACCAATCACAAGTCAGACTCAACAGTCAATCATGACTCACGCCATTTTTACAACATTAAATGACTTACTAGGGAAAACTTACACTTGAACACACATCGGTGTGATGGATCAGTGTGAACTACATAAAATGATAGAACTCATCTTTGAGAAAAATATATTTAACGTCCACTATTTAGGTTGATCCCCGTCTCATCCACTGACATGAATGAAGCTGGAATTTGACCTATACTGCAGCCAGCCACCAGGTGTCGATCAAGACGCTTTGGCTTCACTTTAGAGGAGCTTAAGGAGCTGAAGATTGCAGCCACTGTTTGGTTAGGTTTAGGTATACAACATATACAACAATACTTAGTTTAGGGAAACATAATGGTTTGTGTTAAATAGACAATTAAATTAAATGATTGAAACTAAATTAGCCAGTTTCCAGTCCCATGTGACCCCCCCCCCCTCCTCTTTGACCTCCACTGGCTTCCTGTTGGGGCCCGCATCCGATTCAAGATGCCTTCAAGGCCATCAATGGAACTGCACCCATCTACCTCCAAACACTGGTCAGACCACATGCCCCAGCGAGAGCACTTCGCTCATCTACATCAGCTGGCCGACTGGTACCCCCATCGCTGAGAGCAAACAAAGCTCGCTCAGCGAAGTCGCGACTCTTCTCTGTTTTGGCACCTCAGTGGTGGAGCGAACTCCCGACCAATGTCAGGACAGCGGAATCGCTCTCCATCTTCCGCAAAAGACTCAAAACACATTTGTTCAGACTTCACCTCGACCCTGCATAGCATGACTCCCCCCAGAAAAAACAACTAAAAAACGTATGCACTGTATGTTCGTATGATGAGCACTTCAGTCATAGCACTTATGCACTAGAAGAATCTTTCACAAATAGCAGTTACGATCTTCAGATGAGGGCTTGACAATTGGTTCTATATTTCGTTTTACCCCATGGACAGTGATATGTTGTGGTTTCTCTCTGGTGACAAATGTACTTATTGTAAGTCGCTTTGGACAAAAGCGTCTGCTAAATGCCCTAAATGGAAATGGAAATCTGTTTCACCCAGGTTAAATGACTTCATGTAACTGAGCCATTTCTTGTTCAATAACAGGACATCATGACTCTGAAAATTACAGTATTAACATTTTCCCAAGCAGAGATGTTAATGTTGTTTTTCAGCCAATGTTCCATCAGCTACTTCTTCTCATCTTGTGGCAAACCACGTTTTTTAAAATCTTTTTTACGTGACGGATCCGCCAGCAAATCAACATCGAGGACGCTCATCCCGTGGACCAATGAGAGCCTGTACTCACACACCGAAACGCCCCCCTCATTAAGTTAGATTGAACTCCGGCTTCTGTGCCTGTCAAATTATTTGGCTAGCTAACGTTAGCTGGTTAGCCACCGGGATGACACCCAGAGTAATGTCGAGCAGCTGAGAGCAGTGAGGTTGAGAGTTACATCCGGACACACGTTAACACCTCGAGTAAAGAAACACGTAGACAACACAGCAAACACGGTGAGTCACACCACTCCGCCTGCTTCCGTGTGGAGGCTCGAATTAAAGGGGTAGTTAAGTTGTTAGCAGCTAGCTTCTTTGGCTAACGCCGTAGGTGTCATGAAGGGAGGCAAGGAAACAGGCGAGACAGCGCCGCGGGTGAACACTGATATTCCCGGAGAGAGCACTCGATCATATTTACAAGTGTCAGCGAAAGTCACACCATTTGCAAGCAGCTGACGTAAGTCAGTCGTGTTTGCTAACTTAGCATTAGCAGTAGCAGCAGGCTGGGGCGAATAACACGATAACTCGATGTCCTGTCAGAAATGCTACGACACTAGCTGCTTATTTCACTTAAACTGTAACACAGGTCTTTGCTGCAATCTTTCAACATTAGCTACGCAGCAGACGTCGACTATTGAATGTCAATAACAACATAACAGCTAACGCTAGCATACTTCATCAAACAGCTAAGTTAGCATGAAGCTGCGCTGTCCCAAACAATCCTTCATGTTATATAATTCCGCAGCGATCTTTTTTCAGGTTTCCATCCCTGCTTACTGTCAGCACTTACATATTCTTATGGAAACCATCAGGCTGCCACGATAACTGGCTGCAGAGTTATCTGAGTAACAGTAGAACAGTGTTGTGTGGAAGTTGTCACTGTGTGTGAGCAGTCTGATGTGTCATGTGTGTTGTGTTCCGTCACAGCAGCGGATGGCCTCGGCAGTACGTGTGGTGGGACCTACATAAAGAGAGGAACACCAATCTGACCCTCTGAATGAGTAATGAATTTAAACCCCTTCTGGAGCATGTCTGCCAATACAAGTCGCAAGGTAAAGTTACACTTAATGAAGAAAGGGTCTGCAACAACACACCTGAACAATTTGTCCGTATACATGTGTGGGAAAGCATATTATTGATCGTAAACAAAGTTGTCAATGGCAGATGAGCTTTTTCAAATTCATAAGTCTTTGCCAACCTTTCTCTGAAATCTAATACACATGGAAGATATCTGTGCTTTGTACCACTGAACACGAGGCCATTTATACGTCCTTACTGTTCACTGATGGTGCCTAATCTATTCATAATTTGCTCAAGACATTCAGTTCCAGCTTTTGAAAACATGACATTGCCCATCATTATCTCTTGTCATATAATCTAGGGGATTATAGAGATAATTACATCAGTCCTTTCATTTGTCTGTCAGTCCATCTGTCTGTAATCATCGCATTTTTTGATCAGAACGAATATTTTCATGTAACCTCACAATCATTGTAATCAGTAAGTAATGTGGGGCCTTGTGATACTTTGGGTTTGGAAGGTGATATGTAAATTCCTGACAACTCTTATTTTAATTGCCCCTTTGAACTTTAAAAACAAGTTGTATAGGTAGGATTGGGAAAGCTCATGTGTGTGCTGACTTTACTGGTAGAAGGATGGATTCTTTAAAGTTCTAATAGCATCATATGCAATGTTTGTATGTTTACTGAAAAAAAAAATACAGTGGCAATGAAACTTGATCTATGCCACAGAGTTGTAAATATCTCCAAAGAATCAGATCAATCTGTTTATGTGCCTGTACTCGTCACTCAAGTTTGTATTCATTCATTCATTCATTTTCTTAGGCATCTTGCTAAACTGACAATGTCTAGAGTATAACAGCAACATCATACTCAAGTTGAGCGTGTGGATTATAAATAAAGAATATACATATGGCTGAAAACTGGTTTATTACAACTTGTAATAGATTCATTTATTGCCAACAAAAGGGAGGGGTAAGGTACATTTTAGCACACTGTTGCCACCCTGATGAGGTAGGAGGCAAACAATGTACCTTGCATGTGGGTGTGAGTTTATTTTTGTCCTGCCTCGTCAGAGGAACATTTCAGAAACATTCTGTTGTCAAGTCCGTCCTCAATAACTGTTCAGACTAGGTTTGTTGAATCGACGCACTATTCACGTCAGGCATTTCTGGCATACTTGCAGTCACCAGAAACTTCCTGCTAGCTTTCTGGCAGTGAGCTGACTGTATACAGTGACGCTCCAAACACTCTTATCATCCTCAGCAGCATCAGTAAGCTGAATGATCGTGTATGTCAGACTGCATGGTCTTGTCTAGACAGTGTTTCCTGATGGCTGTAAACCAGACGGGCTGTGTAACCTGAGAGTTTGGTCACATGGTCACTACCCTGGCCCATTGCGCTACTCTTGAGTGTGCATAATGGCTCATAAACAGTTGCCTTCTCTAATATGGCTGCCAATACCTTCCTACTGACAGCTTTGTCAGACAGCTACAGAATTTTACACATGATGTGTTGAGATTCCTCTTATGTTTTTCAATGAAAACAGCAGAGACCCGACAACGAGGAACAAAGCGGGCACGGGGAGCAGAGAGCCAGCCCAGCCCGGCTTTCCCTGGGCAAAAAGCAGCTTCCTCCCATTCCAAAGAATGCCACCCCCATTACCAAGCCTGCTTCATTGGGCACTCCAGCCCAGTCAGCCAATGGCACACATGCCTCCTATGGCCCTTTTTACCTGGAGTACTCTCTACTGGCTGAGTTGTAAGTACTGGTCCAATCAGAGGATAAAGATTCAGTTTTGGCCTTTGTCATGTTGTGTTCTGTGTTTGTACATGGTCTAATATAAAAAAAATGTGTTGGTATCACAGCATGCCTTCTAGTTTCATTAACCCACGACTAAAATGTGTTTCATGCATTTGTTATCTTCCCTCTTGATTTGATCTAACTTCTTGCCATGTGACCTGCAGCACACTTGTGATTAAGCAGAAACTCCCTGGAATTTATGTTCAACCATCCTACAAGTCAGCACTAAGTAAGGACCCTCTCTTTGATGCTCCTGTAGTTTGTAATGTTTCATATTTATCATATAAATCAAATGCCCATATTTTCTAAATTGCAATGTGAAACATTCGTAAACAATGTCAAAATGTTCCACAAGACTCAACAGAAAATATGATTTTTATTATAAACTGTGCTGAAAGTTATTCTTAAAAGTACATTTTCTGAAATACTTTGTGTGTCTCTCTCTAGTGTGGTTTGGGGTCATATTCATCAGACATGGCTTGTACCAGGATGGAGTCTTCAAATTCACTGTGTATATTCCAGATAACTATCCAGATGGGGAGTGTCCTGTGAGTGATGTAATTTTGACAAAATGATTATTGTACTGTTACAACAAAACATAAATTTAAAAGACATAAAAACATTGTATCATGTTCCAGGTCTGCGAAAGCAGTGTTTCCCTTTAATTATCTAAACAGCCGGCTCCCGATATTCCAATTTGTCAGTCCACAGTTTCATATGAACCAAAAAAATTACCCATAATAATTTAAGAGATCTTGAAATTAGTATTCTTGCTCGGTTGATTCCTTGTAGAGCTCATGCTCGCTTGGTCACTCCCTCTCACATGCTTGCACTAGTTTCCATAATGTTTTTACAGACATCTAGACCTCATTGTTTCAGCTGCAGCTGTGGGTGACCCATGAGGGACGTTCACTACAGTTCTCTCACACCAAGAACCTGTCTCTCACTCTCTAGTCTGTGTACACGTCACTCTGTGCCCTGTTGCACTGGAGAGTGAACTGCAGGTGCACCTGTGATACTGACACAGACCAAACCAATTCTTTGTGAAGAACTGCCAGGGTCTAGGAAAGTGATGCAGTGTCTGAAAACTGTCATTTGGGGAAATGTGTTCAGTCATATATGAAATTGAAAGTTTCTCAAAATCAGTGTGCTGTTCAGAGCCATCTAGATGTGTAATTTGAACAGTGATCATGGAAAGTAAGCTTTGTGTTATAAAACAGACATAAAATATTTTCCAGGAAAGAATGTTTGGTGAAAACTCTCGACCATTTTCTTCCTTTTGCTTTGCTTTCAGAAATTAGTATTTGACATCCCAGTCTTCCACCCTCTTGTTGACCCTGTGTCTGGAGAGCTTGATGTCAGAAGAGCTTTCACCAAATGGAGGTATGTTTTCTGTTTTTCTGCTTGTGCAAGTGACTTTCAAGTCCAAATTTATTGAAAACTAAATGTATTAATTTGTGCAGCCCAAGTGAGTCCTGCTCGGCTGTGCTTCCCCTTTGACTTTGTACACAGCTGGACATTCAGTGCAATGTTAATTTTGGAGTAAACAGAAAATTAAAACGTATTCAGCATGGTGTTTTAATTCAGTCAGAGAATATTTTAGGCTGTGAACACACTGTACTCCCCAAAAGGTCAAATAATATTGCCAACCCCATATGTTGTGTTCTTGTAGACGAAATCACAATCACATCTGGCAAGTCCTGATGTACGCACGTACAATTTTCTACAAGATTAATACCACAGAACCACTCAACCCAGAGGCTGCTGTGCTGTAAGTGTCTTAATGTTCTTTAACCTGCTTTTATCTGATGTAATAGCTTAATCAAATTATGAAACAATTAGCCTTTTTATTTAGCTTTTTTGTAACAAGTCAGTGTCAAAAGTTGACAGAACAGAAAAGCTTTGTGGAAAGGATCATTTGTTCATTGATTGACCACCAACACATTTTCCTGTCAGATATGAAAAGGATGTGCAGCTGTTCAAAAGCAAAGTGGTGGATAGTGTGAAACTATGCAACAGTCATCTTTTTGACCAACCCAAGATAGATGATCCCTACGCAATAAGGTTGGTAAACTGTCCACATTCTTTCCATACCACAACCAACACATCCACAAAATACACACTTAGTTCTGTGTGTATGTGAATAGGTACCATGAGATGCTAAAGGTTAAAAGTGTCTGACAAACTCTTCTCTACTGGTTTCAGTTTTTCTCCATGGAACCCAGCTGTTCATGAGGAAGCAAAAGAGCGCATGTTCACATGCAAAGTAAGACTTGAGTGTAGGCTCCTTTAAGGGTTTGGTTTTTGCTCACGCACCTCGTTTGGTTGAGCCGTCCCTGTTATGTAACTGTGAATTTGCCTTGTTGCCCTAGAGACGGCCTGAGGATCACCACAAGGGAATGCAGGTGTCGGGGCTGTCCTGGGTGAAGCCCGGATCGACGCAGCCCTTCAGCAAAGACGACAGCCCTCCCCAGAGCTGAACCTGCACTGTCGCTTCAGTGGCCACTAGAGGGAAGCATAAGCATCAGATGCCGTGCCACTGGCTTGCCCTCCGCTGTCTTATGTGAACTGGATTTCTATGGAACAGTTGGGAGAACTTTATATTAAATCTCCATGTTATTGCTCAGCTTTAAGCTTTGTAGGCATCTCCTCAAACAGCTTTAGAATAAGGAAACAAAGTTTGTATCATATGTAAATCGACAAAGACAAATGGATGTCTCAGCAACATCATTTAGGCTGTGATGCAATCAAAGAGCTTTCTCATTTAGATTTTCGGATCCATGCACACGTTGGGCTTGGTGATATCATACTGTCCGAAAAGGAGCTGAAAAGTATGAGCAAAGCAATTTGTCTTCATACAGTGAGTAAAAGTGGACTATACCATCTTCTACCACTTGTTGAAACTGGCTCAGGACTGTTTTATTTGTCAGACTTGGAATGTTTGTGGTCACAGGAGTGTGAGAGAAACTTCCTGATTCACACCTCTCCCAAAACCCAATTAGGTTGTTATGTTTTATATTCGTTTCTTATTGGATGATGATTTCTTTTAAATTCTACTGTCTGTCTTCTATTGTCTTACATAGTTCCTAATATATACGAAGCAGAACAGGCAAATGTGGTTTTAAAATGAGATACTAAATGAGTAAGTTTGTATTTTATTTTGTCTGATTTGAATCATTTTGAATGTTTTATGTACCTTTGGCTCTTGGTTATTAAAGGTTTGATGTGTAAGTAATGGGTGCTGTGCTAAGGTTTGACTTTAAGAGACATGTCTGCATCAAGGCTTTGGTTTTATTAATATAATATCATATCATATTTTGTTTTGTTTTTTTCCAAATGTTAATTGAGCATCCTTACAGATCTATACTTAAAGTCAATATGGTTACTGCAGGAAACCTACAAACTTTAGGTTTAAAGGATTCAAATATATTTTGATAATGTTTTCTTATTAGCCACACAGATGAAGATTAATCCTACAAGGATGCCCCTTTTCTTTTTTTGCCAGACCAAAATCACTTCATGTGACGTCTCCTCCTGTAGTGGCTTCAGCCACTTTCAATATTGCTACACTTAGGACATTGGGGGTGGTGGGAGAGACATTTTAAGATTCCTGGGAACCCCCTCTTATAATATACTCTATTAGAATAGCAGACATGGAATGCTGAAACCTGTTGGATTTATTTATGGCTGCTGTGAAAGGCACCGATGTAACAGAATCTCAGTGTGCTTCACACATGGCCACTCGGGCTGTAGACATCTTCAGACATGAGTTTCAATGCGTTCTGTATGGGACAGTTCCTGCTCCGGTTTGTGAAAGATGTTGCTGCATAGATGATATGAGATTGAAATGCTTTTCTCTGAAGTCAATAAAAATGATCAAATAAAGTCAAGTCAATTTGTCTTCACCATAAAGGGGTTTTAATTTTAAACACGAGCAAAGCCTGAAGAAAAACAAATAATAGGAAGACATTTCAGAAATTTTTTACACCTTGTTTTTGAATACCTGTTTCATGATTGCTCTGTCACCAAGAGTCCCAAGTCAGATGCAACGTACATAAAGATCGGATGAACCTAAGTAGATGTAGGTTATAATATAATATCAATATTGAAAAATAAGTTTGCAGTGTCTAGTTATGTTCGCTTGGATTCCATATAATCCTACACATGTCACAAAAGGATACATCTTAAGTACTGGTTTATTTTTTATTGCAACAGTTTCAATCGATGCTAAAAGATGAATCTAGGAACAGACAGTGAAGAAGTACTGCTGTCTACCTGCGGTCAATGAGGATACCACAACCAATTAACATAATCTACCTCTTTAACTTGGCGTTCACTTCATCAATTCTGTTTTAAACTATCTGCTTTATTTGATTTTATTGCTCATTTCATTGCTGTATTGTTGCAATGTATTCTATTGTTGTATTTAGACTATTGTTAAGCACCTTGTATTAAAACTTTGTATGGAGCGATAAATAAATATTTGATATAAGCTAAGAGAAGAGGCACTTTATTGATCCCACTCCAGGGAAATGAACTTGTTACAGCAGCACATATTCAAAATAAGGTAGACAGTAAATTAGAATAGAGGTAGAATAAAACATGCAGTAAAATGCCAAATAAGAAAATAAAGTACAATTTAAAAAAAGAGTACATGTACAGAATACACACAATAAAAATGTATACAAAATATTTACACAATATACAAATTGGCATCAGTAAACATGCAAAATAAATGCTTTGAAATGTAAAGATATAAATAAAATACAGGTAATATATACAGAGTAAACAGAGTATAAATACATTTTAAACAGGATGTAGACACTATAAACAGAATAAATACAGTGTAAACAGAGTATAAATACATTTTAAACAGGATGTAGACAGTAAAAACAGAGTATATACAGTATAAATAGTGTGAACAGAGTATATACAGTGTGAACAGAGTATATACAGTATAAACAGTGTAAACAGAGTATATACAGTATAAACAGAGTATATACAGTATAAACAGTGTAAACAGAGTATATACAGTATATACAGTGTAAACAGAGTATATACAGTGTAAACAGAGTATATACAGTGAAACTATAGAGTTCCACGTGCCATTGTACTGCACAGATAGGAATGAGCGACATGTCGCTTTCAGCCACCAGAGGTCGCCGTGCACCCGCGGACGAGAGCGGCCCGCGCGCTCTCGTCCTTTTTGCGCTGAGCAGCGGGTCCGCTCCATGTGCGAAAGTAAACCCTCTCCTGATTGGCTGCGGCCCGGACGCGGCCATCTTATGCTCTCCTGTCAACACGGGCACTTTACAAAGGAGCACACGACTCGACCCGCCGCTCTCCGGCGCTGACCCGGGGCGGCACCGCACCGGCAGCAGCAGCAGCTCCACCGCCGCGCTCCCCGCGAGTTCATCTCGCAGCCCACAGGCGCCATTGTCGCAAATTGCCTCCGGTCCAATCACAGAGGAGCTCACTGATATGCAAATCCGCTGTTATCGCGGTCACGTCAGCAGCAGGCGCTGCGCAGCGGTCACCAGCGGGAGAACAAGTCACAACACACGCACAACTTCACCGGTAACAGCGCGTCTCCGCCCGGAGCTCCGCTGCCTGCGTCGACCCAGGTGAGACGTTACACTTCGGCTGGTACAAACCTGACGAGCGGAGAGTTCCACTGAGGCGGAGAGCTGTCACAGTCCTGACAGTGCAGAGTGGAGCTCAGCTGTTTGATGACACCGTCCTGCTCGGTGAGTGTGAGAGAGAGTGTGTGTGTGTGTGTGTGTGTGAGAGAGAGAGATCTTCCCGGTAGAAACCACCTTTCCTCAATAACTTGTCCGCGCTGTAGTGTAGCGCGCACGGCGGAGGGTGCTCCCTCACTTTCTCGCAGTTTCGCCGGGTGGTAGAGAAGACGCGCACGGCTCTGAAAGTAGTCCTCCTCGGTCATGGTGGTCCTGAACTGACAGCGACCAGCCACAGTCTGCACGGCACGGCCCGGCCCGGCAGGAACTTCAACGTGGACGCGTGGAACTGTTCGCCAACACTTCAGCAGCTTTAGCGAGGGACTGAAAACAAAAAAGTCCGCAAACAAACTAGTCCGTAATCATCACGGACACCATGGCGGTCGACCTCTCCATCCACCTCCGGCCTCCTCCTCCTCTTCGCTGAGGGAAGCGTCACGACACCTCTCTGGATCCTGGGGCTGCTGAGGTGGTGGGTGTTTGATTTACTGGAGCACGTGTGACTCATCTGGGGGCTAATGTTCTTTAATTTAACACCCAGTGTCCCACGTGCACTTCATTCTGTTTCCACTTGTCGAGCAGTCTGTGCTTCAAGTGGCTCAACACATCGCTGCCTCGCTGGATCGACAGGCACCGAGCGAGCAGGGGTGGAAGCCACGGAGGGATGCTGACTTCAGTGGTGAGCACTGGGAGACATCAATCTGGAAACACGAAGATCATCTCGCTGAGTCTAGAGCAGTAGTAGCGCTTTGTTTCAAAGCAACTTCACTTTTCATCCCTTTGCATCTTCCTCGCCAGGCATGACCCCCTCAGTCCTCTTCACCCTGGTAGGTTTGATGCTGCTGACTGACTCTCGTTAGGCTCTGTATGACACCGGGTCCAGGTTTCAGTGGCTACCTCGGGGCACTTGTGTACACAGCTCTTGTTTATGTTAGGAGCTGCACGTGTTTGGATGATGCTTCACATGATCCACAATAATGAAGGAAACAGCTGGGAGTCTACAGAGGCTGGAGGACACGGTGGGTTCCTTTGGACGACATGGGGCTGTTTATAGGTTAGCAGTGGCTCAGCTTTGGCTAGCAGGCTTGGTAAAATGGGCTGCATTGATTCAGGGGACATGGCAGATGTGGTGATATGATCATGTGTTATTGATCAAACACAGTTGATCAGTTTTAATTTCTTATACCTCCAATTTATTATTGTCGTTCTAGCTGGAGTGGACTGTCAGCTTTCAACAAGAGTACACCCTGGCTTCAGACTTATTTTGAATGTCACCAACAAGACACAAGCTGCAAAACAGTTGTTGGAAACCATTACGTCTGCAAAGGAGGTCATGTTTTCATCAGCGTTAGTTTGTCACGCAAAACCTACAGAATTTCTATGAAACTTGGTGGAAGGATAGTTTGGGTCTGGAATGAATTCATAAAAGTTTGGCGCTAATCCAGATCAGGGGCGGATCCTGGATTTTTCGTTTCACTTTCTTTACCACTCTAGATCTTTTGTCATTGATTTCCAGAGTACAGTTCATGGACCATGCAGACAGATTTTCCTGTGTGTGAAATTTGGTGCTGATCCAAATACAAATCCAGATGTAGTGGATTTAAATACGGTTTCATAAGGGGACTGTTGGACCTTGGCGGAGGTATGCGCTCTACTGAGTGCCATCCAAGTTTCAAATAAGATAAAGGAACTGAATGGGTTGAATACATTGTGTTCATTAAATGAAAATGATCCAAGCATCAAAGATGTTGTCAATGTTTGGCACAAATCCCAATTTGAGATGGTGTAATTATCATGGCAGTGTGACTTGGAAATTTGTAATATTCTACTGTTCAGATGTGGCCATTATGCATACATTCTTCTGAGACACTTAATTTCACATGCCTCCCATTTCACTTGTTGATGGTATATAACATAAATCGTCATTATGTTGCCTAAACATCTAAGTGGGACAGTCACACGTTTCCTTTATAAACAGGACCCATACTGAAAGCAAAGAAAATACTAATATAAGGAAAAGGTTAATTCTCAGCAGCTTAGCCTATGTTCTAAATACATGTGCTAATTTACCTCCTTGCTATATGACAACATACTGAAGTGTATGAGACATAAAATATAGACTTCATGAAGCTACTCTCAAGCTGTGAATTAGCTGCAGTACAACTGGTGTGAAAGTAGAAGAGCCTGAATATACATTTTTAGGGGGTAATATTGATATTGTAGTGTAAAAAAAATCCAATACTGCTATATTGGCTGATTTAAAAAAATAATTTGGAATGATTCCTTAACTCTTGTTATCAAACCCATATGACAAGGAAATGTTGTTTAGGCTTGATATTTTAGAGTTTAACTAAAAACTTACTTTATTACCTACAAATAAAAAGGAAAAAACAAAACAACAAAGTGTATTGAACTATAGAAGAAAGAAAATGAACATATTTTTTATGTGAAATGTAAACACAGTAAATAACTCACCAGGCAACACAGGTTCCAGTCC